GCTTCAACCACAGGTTCTCCTGGATGATATAGGCAAACACTCCATCGTTGAACTTGCCATGGGCTTTCTGGCCACCGAGGATGACCACTGAATCAAGCAGGGCCCCTTTCCGCTGGTAGCTCAGCAGGCTGCGTGGCCGCTCCTGTTTGCGATCCATCAGGACACTCTCAATCAGGGTCACATGGGCTGAGTTGTTGTCCAAGCCCAGCAGCTTGTTGCTGGCAAACATCAGGGTCTTGTTGGAGACAGCATTGAGACTGATGTAATTGAAGAACTTCTTGAAATACTTTTCCCGCTCCTCCTTCCGAAAATACACCCAATCGATGAGTGTGCTGAGAGCCTGGTCCTCATTGAGCACGTGAAGGTTTTCATCACGAAGCAGGCGGCCAAAGATGACAGGTGGGCACCGCATTAAGTGCATAGAACCCTCAGGACTGGCCCAGAAGTGGAAGTTGTCACGAATGCCAGAGTAGGCCAAGTCTGATACTTCTTTGAGCTCGAACAGCTCAGCTAAGAAGAGGTAATGCAAGCAGTTGGCACGATGAATGGACTTAATAAGGAAGTCATTGCAGTGAATTTGAAGGCGTGGGGTGTTGAAATACTGGGCGCCCCGAAGCAGCTCCTCCACGTTCTGCTCTGAGATCACCACCTTGCCACTGTAGAAGTAATCCAAGAGCTGGTCCACCGTGGATGGACTCAGGTAGTTGGGGTCAATGGTGATGAAGAGCTCATCAGTGGTCTTCATGTCATTGCTGGAGATGAGACTTTTCACCAGTGGAGAGACAGCAACCAGCACATTGCGATGTGCAAAGAAGACGTGGTGATCCACAGTCAATGCCATGTCCCAGTATTCTTTGCGCTTCCTCTGTTTGTTCAAGTTCTGCAGCACAAAGGTGTTGTAGTTTTTCTCTGTGAATTCCAGTCTCATGGTGCTTCTTGTTGGCTGACAGAGGATCAACAGAGGTACTGTAGAGCAGACTTTTTCAGGCCTTTGGGATTCAGACTGGTACTTGTTTGCAGAGCAGCTGACCAGAGAGGAGTGGGGGATGAGAGAGATGGTGATGTCATAGAATGGATGAGGTCATCATAATGCAGGCCTTTGTCAGAGACAAGGAGCCTTTCTCTCCTCTGATGGTGCTGAGCTGCCCACTTCATCAAGACATAGTTTAGGCCAGAATTCCAGAAGAAACTCAGGGATGGATCTCAGTGTTCATCTGGGACTTTCAAACCTCAGTTCAAGGCTTGCCTGGAATGTCAGAGTTGGTTTGGGTGGGGCAGTAGGGACAGGTGTATAATAGGGATTCTGGAAGGGAAGGAGTCTGGGCTGCATATTATCTAGGAGACTGCATTTCCCAGGGGGAAGCTGAAGTCCTGATGAGAGAAAGGACTTGCCTAAGGTCATAGAGGCAGTTGGAAGCAGAGCAGGCCTGGAACTCAAGCTGTGTGTAGGTCAGTATTCCTTCCACCCTTCCAGAAAGCCCAATACACTCAGTTTCCAAGGTCTGATTCTTAGGCCCCACAGTCTCTTTCTCCACTAAAGTTCCTGGGCATCTGAGAAGAAAAGTCCTTTGGTTTCAGGCCTTTGCAGCCAGGACAGCAGTCTTCAAAATGGAGAGGTGGTTGCTGCTCACTGGACTGGAGATGCAGAGCTAGTCAGCCTCAGGAGCACGGGAAGGAGTGGAAACGTTTGCTCCACATTTCCAAGCCTCTAGTAAAATGATGGGGACAGTGCCAAGTCTGCTGTCTCCATCAAGGGTGACTTGTCAAGTTGCTCAGGCCTCAGGCTCCTCTTATGAGATGAGAATAGCACTAGGGATTGCTTCAAAAAGAGTGAAAATGAGACACTAGACAGCGATGAGCACGGCGCTTAGTTTGAGGCAAACGTTCAATAAATGCCAGCTGCTGTTTCTTAATACAACCGTAGTTGGCAGGCGCTGGCGCCGCGGTTGTCTGGGAGACTCTGGGCATCCTCTCGGCCGGTTCCTGCTGCGGCCGCACGGTGGGGCTGCAGGGTCACCGCGCTGCGCACCTCTCCAGCCCCGTCCCCTTTCCACCTACCTGGCTTTGTCGCGCTCCTCGGTGCAAACCGCGGGACCCGGGGCTCACAGCCCGGCAGACCCACATCTCTTACAGATGGGGACACTGAGTCCAGCGGGGGTACATGGCCGCTAGAGAGGAGCCGTTTGGGGCGCTCCCAAGAAGGACCTTGCCATCTGGGCCCTTGTAGTGGCCGGACGGGGACAGGACCTTGCACAGACCCTGATCTCCATTCTGGGCCCGGACCTTCATGTGGCCCTGAGTGCCCCTTCCAAAACCTCTCCAGTCCCTGACTTCGGCTCTCTTAGTGCTGCATGCCACACCTAACCTTTTCCTTATTTGGGGACTTGTGAAATTTATTTTTAAAAATCGCACTCTTTACTACTGACTTTGATCGTCTTGATGCCTGGAAGGGACAGATAGTCTCTTTGGATGTAGTGTCTGCATATTGAAGAAGGCTCAAAACTTTGGTCTCCCATTTGGAGGAAGGCTTATGACTTTCACCTCTTCCTGAGACTCCCTGTGTGGCTCAGCTCAATTCTGTACTGTCCTGCCTCTCTCAGAGAATAGTTCCACTCTGGTGCTTCTCCAGTTCCCATCACTTGAGAAACAGTGGCCATTTGGCTGAAGGAGGCTGCATGGTGCTGATGCAAACACTGCTGACTCCCAGTGGCATCTTGCTTGGCAGACCCTGGGACATCTATCAGAGGCAAGACGGGCAGCGCGTCCCAGAGCTCCAGGACAGGAAGGCGCTCACTCACTGGATACCCGAAGCCAGAAACTGGGCCTGCTGGGTGTCAAGGATGTCTGGAAGGATCTGACTGACTTGACTCACTGATAAACTCAGGCCCATAGAGGAGACTTGCTCAACTCAGGTCACAGCCTCAGGTTTGGACTCAGGGCTCTGTTCGCCTTCCTCCTTACCGCTCTGACTGCAAAGGTCAGTGGGCGATCTGACTTGTGCTCTGATCTTGTTAATTGTGAGGCTTGCCATCTTCAAGAAACCCATTAAAGTACCGAATGCTACTTAGCAAGCCAAGGCAGGAGGGTCCTTGAGCTCAGGAGTTTAAAGTCAGTCTATATAGATAGACCCTTATCTCAAAAGAAAACAAAAGTGGGGTGCAGTGGTATATGTGTGTAATTTCACTCAGGAGGCTGAGGAAGGAGGCTCATGAGTTCAGGCCAGCCTGGACAATGTAGTAAGACCCTGCTGTAAAATGAAAAATTAAAAAATAAATAAGGAAAAAGAATCTCATTAAGCCTAGGGCTGGAGAGATAGCTCAGTGGCTAAGAGCACTAGCTGTTCTTGTAGAGGACCTGAGTTCAATTCCCAGTACCCACATGGCAGCTAACAACATCCATAACTCCAGTTCTAGAGGCTCCGATGTCCTCTTCTGATCTCCACAGGTATTACATGACATAGGTACACTTACATATAAGCAGACAGTACACTCATACACATAAAATAAAATAGTAAATAAAAAAATTTAAAAAGAATCTCATTAAACCTATCTGGGGATGTAGCTCAGATGGTACCGTGCTTGTCTAGCATGCACAAAGCCCTTGGTTTGATCCCCAGAACTACATAAACTAGGCTTGGTGATACATGCCTATAATCCCAGCACTTGGGAGATGGAAGCAGGATTGAGAATTGAAGGTTATCCTCAGCTACATAACCTTGAGTTCAAGGCCAGCCTGGGCTACATGAGACACTCTCAAAAAAAAAAAGTGGGCCAACAAGATGGCTCAGTGGGTAAAGTGCTTGCCCTGTAAGCCTTATGACATGAGGCCCATCCTGGAACCCAAGTAAGAGAGCTGACCCCCACAAAGTTGTCCTCTGACCTCCGCACATGCAAACATACACATCATACCCACATACTTTTTTTTAAAAAAAAAGGAACGCTGAGGCAGGAGACTTGTCACAAGTTTGGGGCCACCCTAGTTTACATAGCAAGCTCCAGGCCAGCCAGGGCTACACAGTGAGACTGTCTAAAAAAAATAAGTGGGAGTACCCATCTGCTCAGCCACATTCTTGTCTGGCTTTTCTTCAGTCTTGGAAAGCAGCTATTCCTTAGTCCCAACCAACTGTGGTGACACCAGCTACAGAGATTGGCTATGTGACAGCATCTGCCACCTGGCTATGTGTGTGTATTGGCGTTTCTAGGAGCCACCAGGAAGTTCATTCCAACTTGCCTCATTTGGCCAGAAAAAGACCTCTGCCACACCCTCTATGTCCCTCACCCCTGGCTTCCTGTCCAGCTCAGCATTTTCCACTTATGGGGATTTTCTAGGAGGAGATCCTAATGTTCTAATCTTTGGGGAGCATCTGTGATATCAGTTTGTTGTGACTCCCTGAGGAGAATGGGAGCACCTTTCAAAGACATACAGAATTAGAAACAGAACACTGAGAAGAGCGTCCCAGTAGCCACTCCTTTTGTATCTGTCTTTGCAGTGGTAGGCCATGAACCTCATGCATGCTTTACCTGGCCTTACTGGGACAGGGTCTTAAAGTTGCCTAGGCTGGCTCTGAACCCCCTCTGCAGCCTAGGCAGTCCTTGAACTTCCAATTCTCTTGCCTTAGCTTTCCAAGTAGCTAGGATTCTAGGCTTCTGTCTCCAGGCCACACTCATTTTTTCATTCATAACTTGGCTACAGATAGCTTAGGGGTGCTGGGGTTCTCTTTCAAACTTACATCATCCTTATGTTTTCAGTAAATTCTCTCCACATGTCTTAGGTCAGACTCCTAGTCCATGGCCAGCCTGGGGGCTGTCTGCCCTTGGATCAGGTATCTATTTTAGTTCACTCATCTGTGTGCTGGTGGGTCACGTGGTTCAAAACACGACTGTTTAAAAGCAGTACAGTCTCCAGGGGAGGGGCTGGGCAAGTGAGTTGGCTCAAGATGGAGTCAGAGTCCTGAATTACCTTAGCCATCAAGTAAAAAGTAAGAATCACATTGAAGGAACTTATTACACAAAGGAAAAGATTTTATTGTCTTATTAGTCAATATCCCTGGATGACTAAGTGGCACAGAGAGAGACCATTCACAGTGCAACAAAGATACGCCAAGGCTCTTGTCCTCAGGCCAACAACAGCTTCCCTGGGCCCCTATCTTGAGAGATGGAGATGCCATGGTTTCAGGGGCACTCAACTGGGCATTCGGGTTGGTCTCTCCCACGTGGACATGGTTAAACAGTTATTCAGGAGGAACTGTGTATAGTTTGATGCAAGGTACAGAATCAGATGAACGTTTCTCAGCCCCCTGCTTGGGACTCCTCCCTGGAGCTTTTGGGCTTGTCACACATTCCAGGAGGGAGCAGTCACACAGCTGCAGCCACAGCTGCCAGGAACAGGCCTGGGTGGCCACTGCCTGGGTGGGGGAAGGACAGAGGCTACGGGTCTTCTTCCAGGGCCCTGAAGTGAGCTCACCCTCACCCCTCCACCACTGACTTCATCGTCCAGGGCTTTGGCCAAGAGCCCAGGCAGTGTGAAGGGCCATCTAGCTGCAAGTAGGGGCAAGGGTACATTCCAGGCCTAGGCCCCCAACCCCCAGAGCCAGGGATAGCAAGTGAGCTCTAAAATTTGGAAGCAATTTAAAAAAATACGTGTGAGGGGGTAAGAGGTGGTGGCGGTTGTGGTATTTGCTCTTTAGAGGTTGAAAACTGTAAGAAAGTAAAGCTTTTCCCTCCGTTTACTCTTTGGCAATTTTATTAGGGAATCCCGGAGGATGCTGGGTGACTTCATGTCTTCCAACTGAGACATCTCAGTGATCTGCGAAATGGAGCCCTGGCTGGCCCGTGTTTCCCAGGCAAGATGCTTTATGTCACATTAATGAAGGCTTAATATTCTTTGCTATCTACCCAAAGTAGATTATGATTCAGGAAGACCACATAAAACCACTTTCATATCTCAGCATCAAAATATTTAGAATATACAAAGTCCAAAAATGGATATTAGAATAAGAAAGGTACAGAAGAAGTCTGCTTTAAAAAATAACAGGAAAGATTTGAAGATTTGATCCCACCCAAATCTAATGAATTGTGGTCTAAGTCATCTGGATAAATGCTTAGGATGCTCACCCTGTAGAATGAGTTGGTGTACAGCTGTCTAATCACATGTGTGCACAGGATTACACACAGTTGTGGCTGACACACAGCTGGTTTTTGTTGTTCTAGGCATTTCATATACACACTCTTACGTCTCCACCTTCCCGTCACATGTGAAAAGCTATTTCTTCGGAGGCAGGACGTTTTCTTCGAAGAAACCCTGGTTGACAACGTTTCCTGCTGGGAAGTATCTGGCCACCACGAAAGAGGACCCATCACTTGCAGATGCCTTTCCCACCCCCATCTTCTTCGTATTCTTCCAGACCATGGCCGTGAAGTGTCCTGTGGGAAACAGGGAGAGAGCAAAAGATGAGCCAGAAGATCACTGGAAAGGATGCTGATGGAATTCTTGAACTCCTGGTCTCTCTTGTCAGGCACAGAGTCTGATGTTTGTAGATGCCAGTCACCAAGGAGAAAGCACACTGGGCTGCCGGGTCTGCAAAGCAGGCCTTGTCAATCAGCCACACAGATTTCAGTCACCTCAATACTTTATCATGATCTGCCAGCAATCCCAGCACAGCCCAGTGGCCCCAGAAACTATGATGCCAGCTTACCCGGCACTCACCCACAGTGCCCCCGCATTCTTTAAGTACCGGGTGATAACTGTTTTATCACCCAATGGTCACTTTTTTATGTCTTATGTGGCACCTCAGAAACATTTGCTGCAGCTAACCTCCCTTCTTTTTGAAGCGCACTCCCACTTTGGGTTCCATGGTATCAGTCTGAGCATTCCTGTAATCTCGCTCTAGGTCTCACTGCTTCCTCTTCCTCAATCTGAGGTTCTCTTCTTTTCTAAATATTCTATTTATTTTTTATTTTATGTGTATGCATGTATTGCCTGCCTGTGCGTAAGTGTACCTGTGTTGTGCAATGCCTACAGAGGACAGAAGAGGGCATCAGATTCCCTAGAGCTAGAGTGACAGAGAATTGTTAGCTGACATGTGGGTGCTGGGATTCAAACCCGGCTCTTCTACAAGAATAGCCAGTGCTCTTAACCACTGAGTCATCTCTCCAGCCCACATCTTCTTTCTACACTCTACACATCAGGCAATTTCATCTTTCCCTGTTTCCCAGATGTATTTCTCCAGTTCCAGACACACAGACCGCATATTTCCACTTGGATGACTCACAGATGCAATCTATCCAGACTTCAGATTACACAAATGTAATCTATCCCAACCCCAGACTTACTCCCCTCCTGACCTCCCATTTGCATCACCAGCACCTCCATGCAACACACTCCAGATGTGGGCCTGCTTTCCTCCATCTCCCTGATATCCCTAACAACAAACCAATCGCTCCTCAAGAATTCAACTCTAAAATCTATCTCAATCTATTTTCTTCCCAAAACCTTGGTCTCACCCACAAGCTTTATCTCTTAGACCACTGCAACAGCTGCCTGACATGTCCTTGGCATCAACTTTGGCCCTCTTTTTATTTTTTTAAACTATTTTATTTATTATTTTTTTAGTTTATGCATATGAGTATATTGTCTACATGTGTGTAAGTGCACCCGTGTCGTGCAATGCCCTTGGAGATCAGAAGAAGGTGTTGGATTCCCCCAGGACTGGAGTTATGAATGGTCGTTAGCCACCATGTGGGTGTTGGGAATTGAACCCCGGATCCTCTGCAAGAGCAGTCAGTGCTCTTAACTGCTGAGCCATCTCTTCAGCCCCCAACTTTGGCCCTCTTTAATTTACTTGTCACTGAATTAGAGTGATCATTCTGAGACCTAAGTCATGTCTGTTTAGTTTCTTCAAGTAAAACTCTTTCACTCACTGCTAGCTGCACCTAGATTAGAAGTTAGTCTTGTGGCCTGGTGGCCTTCTTGGGTACAGCGAGTTAGTTCCTATCAAGGCACCCTTGTACACATTGGCCCATGTGTGGAATGCTTTTTGTTTTTCAGCACTGAGAACTGAACCCAGGTCCTGTTCATATAAGCAAGCACTCTCTCCCTGAACTGTACTCCCAGCCTTTGGAAAACTCTTCTGATGACCAACAGTTTCTTGTTCATTAGGTCTCAGGCTAAATGTCATTTGTTCAAATCTTTCATAATCATCTTTTTATTTACCAAACATCCCCCTCTTGAGATACCCTTACCACACCCTTGATTTTTCCCTTCTACATTCTGACTTGGCTCCTTCACTAGTAAGCCCCACATAGGCAGAGAACAAGTTTCCTTTAAAATTTTTTTGAAGCTGGGCATGGAGGCACATGCCTTTAATCCCAGCACTTAGGAGGCAGAGGCAGGTGGATCTCTGTGAGTTCAAGGCCAACCTGGTCTACATAGTGAGTTCCAGGCCAGCTGGGGCTACAGGGAGACCCTGTTTCAAAAAGACCAAAAAAAATTTTTTTTTAAACAGTTGGAATTTATTTATATTTATATTTTTTATTTTTTTGTCTTTTTGAGACAGGGTCTCCCTGTAGTCCCAGCTAGCCTGGAACTCACTATGTAGACCAGGCTGGCCTCGAACTCACAGAGATCCATCGGCCTCTGCCTCCCACATGCTGGGATTAAAGGCGTGAGCTACCACACCCGGCTGAAACAGTTGGAGTTTAATAAAGATATTTCAATATTGGCCTAAGCATGAGGGTTAAGAAAGAAAGAGGAGTGCTTAGAAGAAAACAAGACACAATTGGAGGGCATGGTGTGGGCTTCTCGAGAAAGCACTGAAAGGAAGACACACCTAATGTGGGAATGGGCTCCTCAAGGGAGCGTGCATTGTATTTTGTCTGGTATTCAAAGAAGAGAAGAGACAGAAAGGGGAAAAGAAAAGCTACACTTATGGTTTTGAGTTAAAACTCAGAAAAGTGGGCAGGCTCAGCAGTGAAGATTTGCAAGCAACTGCCCAAGTTTCTCTTTTTTTTTTTTTGAGACAGGGTCTAATGTATCCTAGGCTAGCCTCGATTTGTAGCCAAGGATGACCTTGAACTTCTGATCCTCCTGCCTCCATCTCCCACATTACAGGAATGTGCCAGCACACCTGACAATTATGCAGTACTGAAGATCAAATCCAGGGCATGCTAGTCTGGTACTCCCACCACCATGCCCAGTTTATGTGGTACTGGGAACGGAATCCAGGGCCTCATGTACATTAGGCAAGCATTCTAGTAGCTGAGCTATATCTATCCCTGAATTTTACTTTTAGTCTGTAGTCCTGGCTGGCCTTGAACTTGTGAATACATGACAATCCTCCTGCCTCAACCTTCCAAGTCCTGGGATTACAGGCATGTTCCACCACACCTGGTTTATTCTTAATTTTTTTTAAATTTAAAATTACACTTATTTATTTTTCATGTGCACGCGTGTGCATGCATATGTGTGTGTGTGTGTGTATGTGTGTGTATACATTCTTTTGGGACAACTTACAGGATTCAGTTCTCTCCTATTCAGGGATCCACTTGGGTCATCAGGCTTGGTGGAAATGCCTTTACCCTTTGAATCATCTCTCTGGTCCATAATTTTAGAATTAAATGAAAATAAGCCCAGCTGGGTGTAATCGAACACACTTGAAATTCTAGCACTTAGGATCATGAGTTCTAGACCAGCTTGGTCTACATAGCAAGTTCAAGCTTCCTTCAGCTACATAAGGAGATATCTCAAAACAAAAACAAAAAACAAGAAAAAGAAACGAATGAAAGACAGTGGCCTCTAAGTACAATCGCACATCTCCACTTAGCCCTAAACCTGTACCTCTGCTCAATAAACTCTGGTTTTCTGCTCTGACCAGAGACATTCTTGTCTGTTCACTCTTGGTTGCTCTGCCTCTGAACACAGCTCCAGGGCTAAGGCAGCCTTGCCAGGCAGTCCAGCTTCTCTGGCTGCCTTTTGGCCAGGACTCAAGCCTTTTCTCACACAGCCTTTTTCTACGGTCACAAGCATTGACCATTGACTGTCTTTGTTTCCCAGAGAGGGAACAAACAGCGATCTATCCTCTGGCTGTCGAGCAACTGACTGCGCAGAAAGTACACATCAGCATGAATGCCTACAGCAGCTTCTCCTGAAGGGCTGACTCTGAGCAAGACACCAAGCAACCTCTCTTCCTCTGGGGAGATTTCTATTTACCTAGAGGTAATTACTTAGGGGTACTTAGAGATGAATTAAAGGACACAACTTCCTTAGCAACCATCAGATACACACTGTTTCTAACACCAACTACCAACAACAGTTCCTTTTTCTTTCCTTCTTTGTCACCCCCTGCCTCTGCCAAGGGATCATATCCTTTTTCCAGCTGTGAACCAAACCTCTCCAGAATATGCCTCTGAAACCACAGTGAATAAATAACGGTATATTTTTGCAAAGGAATAATGTATGAGAAAATTCTTTTTGTACTGATTTGGAGCAATCTCTGACAGGACAAACAGATCACATGTTCTGACACCAGAATGTAAAAGGGGAAAGACTGATCTCTCGTTTCTCTCTCTCTCTCTCTCTCTCCCTTTCTACACACACACACACACACACACACACACACACACAAGCTCAGAATAAGTCTAGAACAATACTTGAGAAACTAGTAACATATTGCTTTCAAATGTCCTGTAAGATTAGTACTCATTTAGACTAAACAAATCTATTCATTTAAATGGAACAGATCAAGGTAATTATAAGAATGTTTTGTTTTGTTTTGTTTTCCACCCAGCACATAGCATGGACCAATGCCCTTCATCACAAGAGGCTAGCTGGGGGAAGTCTGTCAGTCGGAGTAGATTATATGGGATATTTTAAAGACCCTTTCACCTATATGAACTCAGGGAACCCATGAAAAACGATGTAGCAAGAAGCTCGTGACTGAAGAGTCTTGGGAGACAGCATGATGGGTCTGAGGATCTTCAAGGGCCCAGAAGCCCCAATTCTATTCTAATACCTGTGCTGGATCGCTTTAGCTGTCAACGTGACACATGGGTTGAGGGAGCCTCAACTGAGGAACTGCCTCCAATGGACTGGCCCGTGGCCTTGTCTGTGGGGCATCTTCTTGATTGTTGAGTGAGATGGGAGGGCCCAGCCCACTGTGGGTGGTACCATCCCTCCGCAGGTGGTCCTGTATTGTATAAAAAAGCAGGTTGAGCATAGGGCAAGGGAGCAAGCCAGTAAGCAGTGTTCCTCCATGGCCTGTGCTTCAGCTCCTGCCTCCAGGTTCCTGCCCTGAGTTCCTACCTTGGGCTCCCTCAGTGATGAACTGTGACCCAGGAGATGTCAGCCAAATAAACCCTTTCCTCCCCAAGTTGGTACTGGTCAGAGTATTTTGTCACAGCAATGGAGAAGCAAACCAGAACAATACCAAACAAAGTCGTAGTCCTGTCTAAGGCTAGGGTGCCATCCTTTGGAGTAGAGGCTATGGAAGAGGAACCAGGTCAAGAACAGAAGACAAGAAAGTCTTGTTTCTCTTTGCAAGGCTCCATTTCCTCCTTTGCAAAACCAGCAGAATAAAGCTCTGCTTTCAAATGGCATCCAAGGCTGGTATGGCTATGCCTGTAGAGGCGTTTCCCAAGCATCAGATGGTGCGAACACAGCACCAAAATCTTGCTCCAGCATATGTCTGGTTGCTCAAGAATCTTGCTCATGGGAAAAGCAATAGCAGAAACTATGAAATAAAACATCTCTGGACACTATCTTTATTAAAAGGCAGCGGGGCTTTGCCTACACATCTTCAGTCGTTGCTCCCTCCTCCTTACTCAGCGGCAAGGCCATTCTCATCTGAGGCTCCCGCAGCTGCTTTCTACTCCAGCCTGGTGACTTGTCCAGCCTGGACAAGAAATACCCCAGTTCTGCCACAGGGTTGCAAGAGCCCCTACCCGACAGGGTGAGCAGTAAGCCACAGGAAACACTGACTGGTTCTGAGAATGTGTCACTTCCTGCTTCTGAAGAAACTCTCCAGAAGACGAGGGGCGGGGGCAAGTGGCTCTAGCTGTGAGTGGAACAGGAGGGTGAGGGGAAGAAAGAGAACCCCCTTTTCAGTTTCTCTGGTGCCTCTGACCAGATACATTCACACCCCTTCCTGCTCTGGGCTCCGGAAGAGTTGGAGTCAGTCAGAGGAAAGATGAGGAGGGGGCGTGAAGCCAGCGAATGGGACAGAGGAACTCTAGAGCTCGGAAAAGCTGTACCGGCTTTTAATAAGCTAAATGTTCGCTGCTCCGGGCTGGGAAGGGTCAGTAAAGTGCTTGCTGTGGAGGCATGAGGACCTGAGTTTGCATTCCTAGGATCCGAATATAAAGCTGGCAGCCTTTAATCCCAGCACTGGGAGGCAGAGGCAGGCGGATCTCTGTGAGATTAAGGCCACCCTGGTCTACATGGCAAGTTCCAAACTAAGCTAAGTCTATAGGGAGACCCTGTCTCAAAAACAAACAAGCAAACAAACAAAACTCAAATTGAAAAAAAAAATTAAGTAAATAAAAATAAAAAGTCAGCATGGTGGCACATGTTTGAATCAGAGTGCTGGGGTGGGTGGGAGTGGGGCTTGTGGAGTTCACTGGCCATCTGTTCTAGATAAATTGAGAAACTCCAGATTCAGTGAGAGGCCCTATCTCAAAAATGAGGCAGAAAGCAGCTGAGGGAAATACTAAACATTGAGCTCTGACCGTACACGAGATTAGATGTGCGAGATTAGATGTGCACCTGCATGCATACATGAAACACACACACTTACTGCTCACCTAGACTACAGAAGGCCTATTAGAAGGACAGTCCTCCTTGCACCTGAATCACTAACTTTCAGAAGGTGTCTTAGAGGCCACCACTGTGTTCTGCCTTGGACAGGGCAGAAAAAGAATTGACCCAAGAGCTAAGATGAGACTGAGTTTTTTAACATCTCAGACTCACCTGAACCACAGCCTAGAGTGCAAGATTAAGGGAAATGCCTGTGGCTGTGAGGTGTGGAGAGTGAGCAGGAAGGAGGGTGTGTGAGGGATGGGGAGGTTAAAACTAGCTTGTTTCTCTTCTTGATTGCCCTAGGGAGCCACAGCAGGCTAACCTGGAGAGCACTGAGGCAGAGAGGCATGTAGAAGGCTGGCTGCTGGAGAGCTGGATGGATTGCAGGAAGCAACACCAGAGGCAGGATGACCAGTCAGAAGTGCTTCGACAGTAGTTCAAGAACGAAGCACTCAGTTAAAACCCAGGCTCCTTAGGACACACTGCAGTAATACGCAGAGCTTTGAGTTGGGCGACATGATCAGCAGCCTGGGTGTCCTCAGATGGAAGGGAACAGGTATGGGATACATGGTGGTGGTGGGAAAGGGTGGGCAGGTGTTGGGGAAAGGAGAGCTTTGTTCTCTGGGCAAGATTAAACCAGAGAAATATGACTGAACCAATGCAAGAAGGAAATAATTAACTTCCTGAAGATTATTTCCTCTCATAGGCAGACATTCAACCTGAAACCTGCCCAGACCACTAGTGGTCCCTGCCACTTACCAGTTCCTGAGGTGAAGCCAGGCTGCTGGAAGTTGTAGTTCTTGATCTCACTATACCACCTATCAGCCACCTCCTTTCCTGTACATAAAAGACATTGCTTTCAACTCAGCAACAAAGTCCACCCACTGCTACTCCTTCCATCTTTTCTCCAAGCCCCAAACCACCCAACCCACAACTGGATGTCTAAAGCACTGATGAGATAAAACATCTGGGCTGCTCCCTGCAGACTCCCGGGGACTCAGTGTGAAGACAGAGCTTTCACTGGGTTGAGAAGAGCACTGGCCTTGGGTCAAGGGTCCCTAGATGAGGTAGCCTGCATTGGTGTCCCCTGCCTGGCCACTGATACGCTAGAGCATTCTGGATAAGGCCTTTCCCTCTTGGGGCCTCTATAACAAAAAAGTCAAACACAGAGCATTCCAAGGGCCCTCTGGTGATGGTTTGAACTTCTGGGAGGCTGGGCCTCATCAGGTCTGTTTCCTAAAAACTGCACAGGAAAAAAAGCAATTGGGTCAATAGACCAAGGGTCTCTGCTGCCAGCAGAAGGATTCTCATCTTGAGCATCCACTGGTGGTGATGACATGAAGAAGCATTTCCCTAGGGTCACGACATATGATGTGTCAAGTATGAATCACTTTGGGACCTTGTTAAAATTTAGATTCTGGTTTCAGTAAGTCCTGGGATTCTGCATTTCTACCAAGATCCCTGTTGTTGCTATTGGTTCATGGAGTACACATTAGCCATACTTGGGGACCATTTAAAGAAAGCCTGAGGCCTGGGTCCTTCCTCAGATCAGTTGTATTGGTTTCTTGGGAGGAGAGACCCAGGTGTTGGTGCCCAGGGAGCCAACATGGGGCCAGGACAGAACAGCATTCTCAGGACCCATACATCCAGCACCCTCCTCTCAGCCAGCAAGGCCACACAACCTGCAGGCTGAGGAAGAGGCTCAGAGGCCCCAGTCCAGCAGATGCCTTCCCATCCTGGGGAGCAGGCATGTAGCTCACACCCCCATCCTCTGACTTGGGAGGGGTCCTGGCTCAGCTGTGCTGGGGAAACCATGCAGCCTGGGGACTTCCCTTGGGAGCTCTGGGGAATGTGAGGCTCAGGAAAGAGTGACTCCTCCTCTGCTGAAGTTTGGAGAAAGCTCCAAGGAACATGACAGCTCTCACAATTCCTAAAAAGCCACCTCAGGACTGTGGGAGTCAGACAGCTCATGAATGTGTTTGCTCAGTGTGGTGGGGTCATTCCACTCCAGGCCCTGGACGGATGTCTTTTCCTTTCTTTCTTATTTAAAAAGTTTTCATCCCCCGCCCCTTATAAAAACAATACACCTGCAGTGTAAAGAGTAATTTAGAAAAATGCGAGGATGCTCCCTTGCCCACAGAGCCAGGATGAAACTGGCCAGATGCTGTGGTCTCCACGCCCACTCCTCTATCTTGGGCTTCTGGAACATGACGGGTCAGTCTGACTCATCTCTGTTTCCAGCTCCCAGAACACGCTTGGCTCTGAGATGGCCACTGAGGTCAGCCCAGGAGCAGATGCAGGGAACTCAGGGGTTTCCTTTCACCTTCTGATCCTGCGGCTACACCACCACTGAACCACAAGGGCACAGGTCAGGAGAGGTCTGCAGAGGCCCTGTCCTATGTCCAGCTCAGCAGAGCAGAAGGGAGCTGAGAAGGTGACCTACCTGTCTGATCATAGGAAGCCCACGCCAGGTTCTCTCCACACTGGCCACGACTGGACTCTGGACTGTGCTTGAGGATCCTTGTGCTGGCCAAGGCCTCAGAATACCTGTATAATATATCTCCTTATAGGGGGGTCCAACCACATTAGGGTCCCTCTAATGTCTGAACCTCCTTCCCTGCCCAGGCTCACTGGAGAGACATGAAGCATCATTCTGTATAGCCTCAGAGCCTCCCAACAGCCCCATTTCCAGAAGAGCATGCAGAGGCTCAGAGGAGCAAAGGAATCTGCCCAGACCAGCAGCAGAGTGGTATTTCAATCCCCTCTATATCTGAACCCTAGACTCACATCCCTTCAACCACCCAGGGCCCCTCCATGACTGTAGAAGCACCCCCGTGCAGGGTTGGAGCCCACTGGGTGCTGGGGAACTCACTGCTGAGCTTCTTGGTTGAGTTTCTTGCAGAGCTTCAATGGAGGCACACCGTGCTGTGCCCGGTACTCGTTGTGGGCCTTCAGGACCTCATTATTAAACTGCTTGGAAGCTGCAATGATGGGAAGATGGAGAATGGCTCAGGGCAGAGAGAAGACTCACCAAAGGCATACTTCTGGCCACACAGAGATTGCTGCCCCATTCCTGCACCCGACACCCTGGTCAAATGGCTCTGTTCCGCAGCACTGTGCATTCTGCCTCCATCCCTGCCATTACCCACCATGCCTCTGCAGATCAGAGCTCCATGGATTATGCAGGACTTTTTAGGCCATGTTGGGGATCTGAGTCTTTTTCTGAGGCAATGAGGAACTTCTGAAATGGGAGCAGCAGGATGAGCTGATTTGACCTGTGATTCTGAAAGATGGTGCCGGTTGCTAAGTGGAGGTAGAGGGAAGTACAGAGAAGATGCTGGGGCTGGGCATGGGGAATAACACTTCTGAAAGAATATGTCTGAAGGAGACTGGATACCTCAGGGTGGACCAATGGAGTCTTGAGAAGGCCTGGAGTTGGAGCCAAGGGAGAAGCAGCCTAGCTGGGGTAGACAGTGCCCATATGGGGCAGGTGAAAATGTGACAGAGAGGCAGGTAAAGAAAAGAAGATGAAAAGGCAGTTAGGGGAATGGAGTAAGGGGAGAGTGGAGAAAGGGAAGCGGTGGGTTGGCTGTGCTGGGGGAAGAGGTGAAGCCTGTGCCTTGCTCAATTATGAATTCAGAAAAGACAAGGTCCAGGGGCCTAGGGTTAGAGAAATAGTGGGTGGAGGGCAGGAAGGCCAAGAGTGGACAGAAACCATACTGATTTAGACCTGAAACAGAACACCATCCATCCAACATCTTTCATCTATTCAATGTGCGTCCAAAATCATCCATCAAGCCCTCCATGCAGTCACCATTCCCCAAGCACCCACCTGTCCAGCATCCACATTTCCATCATCCACGCAACGCTCACCATCTAGCAATTCATCGTTGTTGAGCAGCAGCACCCACCCA